GTTATGCCGACCATAAGGTTCGAGATTTAGCATTCATGGTTGGTGAGCGGGTATTGCTTCGGGTGTCGCCTATGAAGAGCGTGATGAGATTTGGAAAGAAGGGCAAGTTTATCCCTAGGTTCATTGGCCAGTTTGAGATTCTTGATCAAGTGGGAGATATGGCTTACAGACTTGCATTGCCGCCGAGCTTATCAGCCGTGCATCCAGTGTTTCATGTGTCCATGCTCCGAAAATATCAGGGCGACCCATCCCACGTGTTAGATTTCAGCACTGTCTAGTTGGAAAAGGACTTGTCTTATGAGGAGGAGCAGGTAGCTATTCTAGACCGGCAAGTTCGTCAGTTGATATCGAAGAGTTTCATTTCTGTTCGTGTTCAGTGGAGAGGTCAGCCTGCTGAGGTATCGACCTGGGAGTCTGAGTCCGATATGCGGAGCCGTTATCCCCATCTTTTCCCCGACTCGAGTACTTCCTTCTTATGTTCGTTCGAGGACGAACGGTTGTTTTAGAGGTGGAGAAAAGGTCATTACTTGTTTTTAAAAATGCATTTTGCATTCTGAGGCCTTAAAAACCTCTTTAGGCAACACCTTGATTTGCGTGCGCAATCCAGACGCGTAGCCGTAAAGCTATTTTGTGAAAATTTGTGAAAAATGATGAATGTTGACTTTAAAATATATTTAAGTTGACTTCGGTCAATATTTTGGATAAATAGACCCGGACCCGTGATTTGACGGTCCCGGAGGATCCATGGAAAAATATTGGACTTGGGTGTATGCCCGGAATCGAATTCCGAGGTCCCAAGCCCGAGAAATGAATTTTTAAAGAAAATTATTTATGAGTTTTGGAAATGAAATGCGTTTAAAATTTGATGGTATCGGGCCTGTATTATGGTTTCGGAGCCCGGTACAGGTCTTATATGTGGTTTAAGTCGAGTCTGTAAAATTTGGTAAGAAACGAACTTGAAATGACGTGAATCGGACCGTATTTGAGCAAATTGGAAATTTTGAAGTTCTTAGGTGATTTCATGATTTTGATGCTAAATTCATGGTTGTTGATGTTATTTTGGCAATTTGATCGCACGAGTAAGTCCGTAGGGTGTTTTTGAGGTAGTGTGCATGTTTGGTTTGGAGCCCCGAGGTCTTGGATGAGTTTCGGATAGGCGTTAGAAGGTTTTTGAACTTAGGAAAAATTGCAGAAATTGTTGTTTGCTGGTGTCCAGGTCCTTGTGCTATGCGATCGCATAGGTATGTTTGCGATCGCATAGTGTAGTTTCAGGGGGTCCTATTTTGTACTATGCGATCACATAGCTCCTTCAGCGATCGCGTAGAGTAAATTTTGGGAAGGGAACCATTTTCTTCTATGAGATCGTACAGCTTAGTCCGCGATCGCAGTGCCCAATACCCCTTACCCTATGCGATCGCATACCCTTGTTCGCGATCGCAGAGACCAATTTTGCCCAGTAATTTAAACAGTAACAGAACACATACGGGATTAAACCCAAATTTCATAACTTCTTCTTCCAAACTCCAAATTGGGCGATTTTTGAAAGAGAACTTCGCCACAAATTCATAGGTATGTAATCGTAGACTCATTTTCTTCAATTTTCATTAACACTCATTAGATTTCTAGGCCTAAATTATGTTCTTAAGGGTAGAAAATTAGGGATTTGGGTAGAGTTAGGGCTTTTTGCATAATTGGGATTTAGACCTTGTTTTGGGGTCGGATTTTGGAACTAATTACATATTCGGGCTCGTGGGCGAATGGGTGATCGGGTTTTGGTCCGAACCTCGTATTTTGACCAAGCAGGCCCGGGGTCGATTTTTGACTTTTTGGGAAAAATGATAGAAAACCTATAATTGAGCATTAGGTATGAATTCTTTAGCATTTATTGATGTTGTTAAATCAATTTGGACTAGATACGAGTTGTTTGGAGGCGAATTCTAAAGGAAAAGCGGTGTTTGAGGCCTGAGTTGGCCGTGGAAGTTTGAGGTAAGTGTTTGGTCTAACCTTAGCTTGATGGATTAGGAGTTGTGTCCTATTTGCTACATGTTATTTGTTGAGTACGACGTATAGGCATGGTGACGAGTATCTATACGTTGGTGTCAAGCATGACCGTGAGTTTTAAATTGAAATTGTTGTGTTCTTGATAAATCCTACGAATGCTTAAGTTGTTGATTCTCTGTGTTGAGCAAAGATTATGATTATTCTCGTGGGAATTACTTATGATTGAGTATTGGTGCTAATTGAGGTAGTTAGATGTTGGAACAAGTTTGGTTATAGCTGATTTTCCCTTGCCGGGACGTAATAACTTATATTGTCGATTCCCTTGCCGGGGATTTCGTGGCGATTGGTGTAGAACTGTATATGTGAATCGGGTTGCGCACCGCAATAATATTATATTTGGATCGGGTTGCACGCCACAACAATATTATATTTAGATCAAGTTGCGCGCCGCAACAATATTATATTTGGATTGGGTTGCACGCCGCAAAAATATTATATTTGGATCGGGTTGCACGCCGCAACAGTGATAAATGATATGGATCGGGTTGCACGCCGCAAAAATATTATATTTGGATCGGGTTGCACGCCGCAACAGTGATAAATGATATGGATCGGGTTGCACGTCGCAACAATGTTATTATATTTTTCGGATTGGGTTGCGCGCCACAATAATAGATAATACTAATTGCTTATAGATTGGTGACGAGTTCCTTATTGTTTTGCTATGAAATCTAAATTATCCTTACGCCTTTCTCTTAATTTACTGTTGGTATTGATATTTCCTTCCCAGCATGTACCCCCTCTCATCTTTATTTGTTTATTCCTATTTTATTTTCCGGTGCATATTATATAACTGCACAGGTTTATTTGGTAGTCTGGTCCTAGCCTCGTCACTACTTCGCCGAGGTTAGGCCAGGCACTTACCAGCACATGGGGTCGGTTGTGCTGATACTACACTTTACACTATGTGCAGATCCTGGAGCGGTAGCTTTTGGACCGTAGCATTTGGTGGCTGCCTTCAGTCCAGTTAGAGATCCTGAGGTAGTCCTGCAGGCGTCCACAGGCCCGGCGTTCTCTTCTATCTTTATATGTATTCTGTTTTTATTTACTTCAGAGACAGATTGTACCTTTCTTTCTAGACATATGTATGTAGTATTCGTAGGTAGTTCGTGATATTGTGACACCGGATTCTGGGTAGAGATGTATGTTAGTATTGTCGTACTGGTTTTGGCTAAGTTATCAGATTAAGTCGTCCGCATGTATTTATTTATCGTTAATATTTCATTGTTAATCGCATGTTAATTTAAATTGTTAAAAAGGCTAAATAAAAGAGTTAGTGATCCTATATTACGCGGCTTGCCTAGCTTTCACGAGTAGGCGCCACCACGACTCCGAAGGGTGGAAAATTCGGATCGTGACAAGTTGGTATCAGAGCTCTAAGTTACATGGGTCATCACACCCAATGTCCTTGATGATTGATGAGAGGTGTGTAATTTTACTCGTAGGGTTCTACAAATTAAATTTTCAATTATCGCCATTTAGCTATGATGAAAAAAAAGAAACTTAACTCTTCATGCATCATTCTTTCACTACTAAAAACATGAATTAGCGAGTAACAAATTTTATAGCTAAATAGTAAAATTCGTCGCTAATTTTGTTTAGCAATGAATAGTGATATATTTTAAAAAATTCTGTTAGTTACGAGCGATTTAGCAACAGATTAACAATGATGTACATAGCTAAATCCAATTTTTTTAGTTGTATTTTTTTCTTTTTCATGCATCATTCTGTTAATTACATACTTACTGTCTTATATATATCATTATATGCATAGACCAAGATGTTGTAGTTTTATCAATAGCACTTATTTTTATCTATCAAATTTATTTACAAGTAATTAAAAAGATAAGGGATCATACCATGTGATAGCAAAATTCTTGTGGTAGCTATATATAGGGCATGGAGCACAAAGTTGTATCTACTTTATTCCATTTGGGTCGCATTTGCACATGGTTGGCTGCATTAAGAGAAATAATATTTGACAAAAAATTCAGTAGTAATATATAGCTAATTAAACACTGTTTTTGATTACTATTTTTTATGCACAATTATATTTGCATAAATTACGTGTAAATCTATTGTTATTTTATGCGAGAAAAAATATCAACTAAACTATGGATTAGTAATAGAACTAATATGACAACATAACCTCATGCTATATTCAGAACTTGCTTCCCTCTTTTCAAAACTTGCATAACTCTGATCTAGATTCTAATATATTTAAAGAAAAATACATTGAATACTCTAATTTTCAGAAAGGAAAGAAAAGGTCCACCATTTTTATTGTGAGTTATAGTTTCAATAATATTTTGATAAAATATGATAAAGCTGTGCTAATTAAATCAACCAAATATGAGATCCAAAGTCAGTTATTCGTTCATAATAGTACATTACTAACTACACTTCAAATAGTAAAAAAATATTTTATTCAGTTCATAACAAACATATGTTTTAAATTAAACCATATACATCTACTTATTATAAATAAAATGTGTACAAGTATCTAATTAAGAATAATAATCCTTCCATTATGTTGTAATACTTGTACTCAATGTTTATATCAATCAAACAATATATATATAACGTTAATAATTAAGAATTGAAATAAAAATACATCAGCTAATCATGATTAAGCGATAAATATGTAAATGAAAAACATATATCTTGCATTTATTAGTTTAGTATATAAACACCGAATATGTGTCAGAAATATTTGTTTGCAATGTAGGAGTACAAACTGCTGGCTAAGAATCTAAAATAGAAGAAACAAATCGCTATTTATTGAATAAAAATAACAGACCATTCAACTCAAATTAAACATTGAAAAAAATAATAATATGATATAACAGAAACTGGAATACAATGAACAACTTCANAAAAAAAAAAAAAGAAAAAAGACAAAAAAACAAAGTAAACATAAAAATAGAAAACCCTCAAAGAAAATACAAATAATGAGATAAACTTTGAATTTTTCATTCTTATCAGACTCCTGAGTAAGCGCGGAATACTTTACGCACTGGAGTGTCTTTTAATACAATTAATTAGGACATTGGAAGCCAGAAGGGACTTTCTTGGAGCAAACATTAAGAAGCAAACTCAATGAGACAGGTACATTAAGATTAATGCCTAAAACATTAGCCTTAATAGCAGTACAAAGACAAAGAGCAGCTTCAACATCAGCAAGTCCTGAAATAAGACTACAACAAGGTTTCACAGGTGGTGAACCAACAACAACATTAACCAATCCAAGAACATTAGCACAAACACCTAATTTTAATGTATCAATTGGGCAAGTTTCCTTTTTTGGAACATATGGAGGTGGAGGACAAGAAGGCTTAGGTTTTGGTGGTGGTTTTGGTTTAGGACAAGTTCCACAACCTGAAACAAATGTGAAGAAAATTAGGTTAAAAGTAAGGAAAAGAGCAAGAGTGGAGCAAACCTGGTTGGAAGCCATTTTTTTAATTAAAAAAAACTTGATTTTAAGAAGTGGTTTTCTTGGTGAAGTGATGAGTATGCATGGAGGTATTTATAGTGTTGAAATAGTAGATTTATATCTTAGTTTATTTAGCAAAAAAAAAAAAAAATGTTTCAGTCTCAGTCCTTGCACTGCTGGTATTTTTGGTTGTTTTTTTTTTTTTGTTTTTTTTATAGTTTAATCGTCTGGTATTTAAAATTCATTAATTCAATTAGTTTTTTTTTTTTGGTTTCCCATCCGGTGTCCGCATTGGAGTCCAACTATAGATTTGCGCTTGGTAGGGACACTAAGGAAAGTAATAAATTGCTCCCTATTGGAAGGTTAGTTCTCTATTCTCAAAGCTCAAATTCGAGGTCTATAGCTAAAAATATAGAGATTAATCATCCTACCACACACCTTCATGATGATATATGAATGTATGATATAATATGTATGAATATTTGAGAAATTACTAATTTTTTTAATATATATTAGTCTTGAACGTATAATTTTAAAAGTGCAAATAGATTGAATAGTTAAAACCTTAAACATTGAATCCATTAAGTTTAAATTCTTGGATCTTTCTTTATATTCTAATTGTTTTCCGAGGGTTTCAAAAGATAATAAGGAAAATAAAGGGAAAAATGCATCAAATCAAGTTACTAAGATTATTATGATCATCTTTTTCTATTTTGCTAACTCCGCTACCAATATGGCTAATTAAATTAATCTTTTTTTACCTGTGGATGAATGTCAAGTGTTTTAAGAATGAAGAGAAAGACCAAAATCAAAATTAAACCGTTACTGAGTAATTAATTATTGGACTAAAAGGGCAAAAATAGAGCAATATGAAAAATGAAAATTCATATAGCCGTTCCAACTTGCTTGAGGTTGAGGCACTACAATTGTTATACTGAAAAATTAACCAAAGGTAAAAAAAATCCTACTTTTGACACTTCGGTGTTTTTTTCCCGGTTTTTTCCCACCAGAAGTTCAATAACAGTATTATTAGAGTCTAACTATGTTCGGATTCTTGTTGGAAAGTCCAATATTGGGAATAAAACTTTCTAACAAAAGCGATTTCGTACTCAGTATTTGAACCCGAGATCTCTATATCACTATGGTGCTAACATGCATAATAATACTACACAATATGGAGAAATTTTAAGCACCCATGTGTCCATTATGTTATGATCTTTGGCTCTATGCAAAAAACACAGCCAAGAATTTGGAGGTTTGTGTTAAAGCTAAGAATACAGCAAGTTGGGTTCTGAATTTCTTGGTCTGTTAATAATCAGATTCAAGAACAATGATGGTTGGTTTTTTTTTGTACAGCTAATTAATTATAATACATAAATTCTAAAAAACCAGTGGGCTATTTATCTAGTACACAAAAAATTGTTCGTTGTCTACCTTATATTGGTAATTGAGGGTCCTATTTGCAAGAAAATATCTTTTTATTCGATCAGCAGTGATTCGTTTCTTTTTGGATTGTACCTAAAAGATGTTTCTTTTAGTTATAATTCAATTCTTCTTTCTTTTCGTGAGAAATGGAATTTTTGTTCAATCTGAAAGTTACTCGTTGCACTTCCTAGGTTTTACACATGATCTCATGTGTGCACCATTATGATTCAGCACCTAACTTTTACACACTGTGTCCAATATTCGCATTTGAAAATTTGAGTCACTTAAGGAGGGGAAATGCTCCCAATCAAGATTTTTTTTTCATTCTCGGGGCTCAAATTTGAGGTCGCTGGTTAAAAGCGAAGAGATCATATTCATCTCACCACAATCCTTGATGATAATTTAAAGGGTGATATTTGTATAAGTTGGTCATATTTTTGGGGTATAACAATAATATTTTCTTGTTTTCTGATATTTAATATAAGTAAAAAAAATATGAGAATTCGACTCAAAAGACTGACATATTAATTGAGAGTAGGGGTATCCAAAGGAAACCGACAAATCGCACCAAATCGATAATCCGAGTCAAACCGAGGAAAAAAATCCGACTACGGTTTGGTGTTACAAAAAAACCCCGACCATAATTGGTTTGGTTTGGTTTTAACTAAAAAAAGTCAAACCGAAACCAAACCAACCCAACATTACATGTATACAAGTTTTAAAAATATTTTATACATAAAGTAATTATTGTAATGTAATTTATAAATATAATTTAAACGCTTTAATAGTTCTCTTTTTTAATGTATTATTTCAAGCTTGGACTTTGAACTTTTGAATGATCAAATATGTTTTATAGCCCATAAAAGTTAGTAACTCAAATAAAGTTCAAAGCAAAATCAAGTCAATACTAATGCTAACAAAAAGAATTTAATCCAATATTAGAAATGACAATAGTATTGGATATTTATTTTTTTAGTTTCATAATGATTTAGATAGTGAAAATGCATAACTCACTTTTAATATTATTTAGTCATGTAATTAATATTTAGTACTTATTAGTCGTACTTATTCTAACATTACTTTTAGATTATGTTTATTTTTATTATGGCTTATTAATTAGCAATATTTATCTTATGCGATTTGTTGAGTATTTTAGTGTAATTATGACTCATCTCATATTATTTTGTATTATTTTATTGGATAACATCTTATATAGTTTTATCATACTAGGACCTAAGAAATATTAGAGCAAAAATTATAAATTTTATGTTACGAAGATTTTGTCGGAAAAAACGAAAAAGCAGAGAAAACCAAAAATTTCGAGAAAACCCGTGATTGAAAAACCCGACTTTTGTTGGTTTTGTTTGATTTGATAATTGAAAAATCTGAGACAATTGGTTTGATTTGGTAATTGAAAAATCCGAACCAACCTGGTCTATGCACACCCTGCTTGGGAGAATGACTCAACCTATAAACCTTACAAATACTCTTAACAATAGAGGGATTTAATTGGTTCACAACAAAATAATATTTTTCTGTTGATCATTAAGTAAGAAATTATCTCAATGCAAGGTTGATAACTCAAATCAATATTAAACTTGTTTAAGGCTCGGCAGCAAAAATATATGACAAGTTCTTTTTGAATTCGTCTTATTTTCTTGTCCTTTTCTTAGTCAAGCGAGACGAAAAATCTGGTGTATAAAGTGGTATCTTTATGTTCTTGAAATATTAATGCTAATAAATTAAGTACTCATAAATAAAAATAATAATTTTTTTTATCATTTTCACTGATTAGCTTATCCTGTTTAATCGGTCCCGATAATATTAATGTAGGACCGGTACAAGAAAGAGAGCATATTTCATGACAACCTAGGCACCAATTATATTCAGTACTATTGTGACATATATAGTATCTCTTTACCACACAGTGAAAGATGTGTACATTTCAAGAGAATATAGATACAGTTACTGTACTTTTCTTTTATGGTTTTGCCTTTTATCTCATTTGAAGAGTGTATTGATCAAATTTTGACTATAATTTTTCGTTTTTTGGTTTTCTATCCGCCCTAAATCCAGATTAATTTCGATTTATGTCTAAAATTTCCACTTTGGACAATAAAAAATTTCACTTTGGAAAATAAAGTACTTCATATAATAATAACTTTATTTTTCGGACTCAAATCTTATACTTCTGATTAAGGATATAAGGGTATTTGTCACCCCACACAACTTTGACGGTAAAAGTTATAGTTAGAAAATATAGCTTTGGTCCTAATACATATATCCATAAGAGGTGCTAGCTAATAAACCTGCCAATTAGTTAGTTTAACCCTAAACTCTAATGATATCCTATATATACACTATTATAGATATTGAAAAGAGACGCTTTTCATAATACCAAAACAGTTAGGGTTTAGTAATGATGTTCCTTTAATCTGCATTAAGCTAGGCTATAGAAATAAGGGAATTTATCCGTCTTATGAGGACTCACAACAACCAATAATTTGAGTCGTGGTTGTTACAGATGATTCGCTTCCACTATAAACAAAATTCGTAAGTCTCCGAACTAGTTTTTAATACAGTTATGTTAAAGTTTGAAAAAGTACCACACTTTTTGTATTATAGTAGTACTTATTGCTAGTATAGACGACAAATAGTGTAATTTTGGCAGGTGACCTGTGAGCTGCTGCAAAAGTATTCACAAGTTCTCGCAGTTTAAAAAAAATTATACTGAAAAACAATATCAATATACGGTTGAAACTTCTCTATAACAGTCTTATTTGTTCTAGACCTTTTTAGTTGTTATAGCAAAATTAATGTTGTTATATAGAACATATATTATATCATAACATGAAAATTGATTTCAAAAGAAACTTTGACTTTTATGAGTACAACACATTAATGAGGCTATGCATACTTTTTTTTAATAAACGATATAATATAAATTAATATGCATCATAATACAGGATTTTCGTGGACCAATAATTCATGCAAAATAGACTCATAAACTAAAGAAGTAGACCTATTTACAGCTTGTTTGAATGGTTGTTCCCTTTGTATTGTATCGTATTGTTACTTTAAATATAATGTTTGTTTTGATTGTTACTTAAATTTTACTGTATCATATCATTAAATCATCATTACTGTTAAGAACTAATTATTTGTATTGATCAGTTAGTTAGGAGTTAGTGGAGTCGCTAGTTAGTTAGAAATGACAGTTGTACCAATCAGCTAAGTAGTTAGCAAGTTAGTTAGTGGCTAGCCGACTTTGTTTTAGCTTAGTTGTACAATTGTATATAGTGGAGGTTCCACTCATTTTTCTTTTCTCAATTAATTCAATTCGAAGTTATGGAATCTTCTCTCATCTTCTTCCTCTCTCTCTTTGTGCTCTCATGGCGTGAAGATCACAGTTGCACTACCATTGAAGCTCAACTTCAAGTTGCAGCAAAGCTTCAGATACTGTTCTATTGGCTAATTCTGATATGGTATCAGAGCAAGGAGCATCAATTTTGGACTCGCTTCACAAAGTTTGCTAGTTCTACTTCTGCTACTGACTATTCGAACTAGATCGCGCACATGCAAATTCATTTCTCCATTGATTTCGAGTTGTAGTTCTGAGGACAGGTTATGTTCTTACTTCTGATCTG